GAGGAGGAGGAGGAGGAAGGTAAACAAAACCAAGCTTGAAAAAACAGAGGACTAAATATTATTCCTGAGTGCAAATAAAATGACAACCTACTGAAGTCTTAGTGTCCTCTCGTCTCCAGGCAGCTCGTAGAGAGACGGAAAAGAGAAAGAGAGCGAGAGAGGAGTGGCCGAGGTCTCGGAGTGCAACGTGCGCTTTGGAACTCAATTTCATTGTTATTAAATATTTGTGTTTTTTTTGTCGTCGCGGCAGCTAGTTCGACCGTCCAGACGCGTTGCTACGTATCTGCCGGCTGCTCCTCCTCATCTTCCTCCTCCTCCTCCTCCTCCTCCACCATGCTGGGTTCCGTGGAAACCTCCTCTGAAATTCCCTCCTCCGCTTCTGGAATCTCCGTGGATTCCGAGTCCTGCGTGATGAGAGTTTTGGAATCACTACAGCTGTTGTCCTCCTCGTCTTCTTCATCCTCCTCCTCCTCCTCCTCGGCCTGGCTGCCGCTGTCTTTCTCCGTGTCTGATTCTCCGTCCTCCTCCAGCGTCAGTTCGAACTGGAACTTGTCTGCTCCGGTGGAGCGGCTGCCGTCCTCGGGCTGGTCGGGAGCGGGCGACGGGCTCTGTGGGATGGTGCTCTGGTACCACTCTCTGTTGTCCTCTAACGTGTCCAGGATGTCCTGGGCGTCCGGGTGTACGAGGTCAGCCCACGTCTCCCACAGCGGGTGCACGATGTAGTCAATGAAGCCCACCTGGAGACACAGAGACGACCGTGAGAATTACACTTGCATTGATTTGATTTGAGTCATATTTCTATAGTATTAACTGCTATTTACAGTTTACATTTTTCATTCACAAATCAGTGTTTTACTGTCAACTAAAACATTTAGGTAATTGAAATTTGACCCTCTAACTCTAGCACTCTCTATTCTAATTCTATAAAATAAAAATAAAAAACTAACACTAATCTTTTTGTATTCTATCAGTTTTTTAAATTTATTATACAATTATCAAAAGCAAAAAAGGCCTCTAACACTAG